AATGTTAGGTATCAGCCAGTATATCAGCATGAGAGTATGCCAGAAGGAATCCTTTTTCCAGCAGGTGAATTAGTCAGATAGTTATGTGAAAGGCAGCATTGTAGTTGCTGTATTCTTAATAGTGTCAGAGAACAGAAAAAGTTCGTTTACCCTAAGGCTATGTTTTTAAAATTTATTACTGCTTCACAATTTCTGCATCTTGTACAAAGGAAAAAAAAAAAGATATTTTCTTGAAATATTTTGCCTGATTGTTTTGCTCTAGGTATTATTATATCCTGCCTAGTGATCTTTTATAATGCTGATCAGTAGTGCTTGGAATCCTATCCTCTACAAAAGCTAAAACAATTACAGAAGGACATGGCCAAAGGTTGGTTCTAAGAAATAAGAAATAACAAACATACTTACATACAGACAAACACAAGTCTTGACTACTTTAATAATTACTAATGCAGACACACCTAGTATGAAACTGCATCGCTGCATTCTGAAACATGGAGTTTTAAACCAAAAATGCCAACCTGGGACTGTTGAACTAAGTTTAGTTTTGAATGAATGGCAATTTCACAGCAAAGCTACAATTCAGTTTAGTCTGAAAGGGGATTGCTACTGCCATTTCTTTATTCCTTTACCTGTCAAGATAAGATGACAGCTACCACTGTTACATTTTAGTTTTATGTTTCAGTTACAGTGCAATGGTCATGCTGAAACAATGGCGCTTCTCCATTATTTATCTCATTGCCCTGAAGTTCAAAAGTCTTAATATACAGACAACACATGCTTTCTCTTTATACATATCTTCAGTGGAAGTTGTCTCAGGCATAATTTTTTGGGGTGGAAAAGGGAAAGAACAAAAAAGAATATATCGATCCTCACTGTGTGGCTACCATTTAACATAGTGCTGTGTAATGTGGTAGTCTCCCCAGATCGTTGGTTAACATCTCACAACCTTCCAGCCAGTGATTATGATATGCATGTGTTTCCCTTGATATTCCCTTGTTTTAAAGACATCATTCAGGTTTAATTATTTACATGTGTTAATATTCCTGCCCTTTGCAGTTTGTCAGTTGATCATTAAGCCTCTTTGTGATTAAAAGTCTTAAAGTACTGGAAAAACCCATATATACTCATTGTACCATATTGAGAAAAAGATCTGATTATACTTCTGGTATCTAAGCATGTGTCCCTACCCAAAGTCTTCAGTATTTCTGAAAATCTGGATAGCTGTGGAAGTCTTGACCTACAAGCTGCGAGGGTTGGTACAGGTTAAGGCTGAGCCAGCCAAGCAGTACTGCTGTTTGGTTCTGATTCCTGGATAATGCCATCTGTAGCTCCATGTGCCACTATGCCTGAATGAGCAAATGCACAATATGCCAGTCCTCCTAGATTCACAGCTCCTGCTACATCAGAAGGTGAAAGTCATGACCAGCAGAGTCTTTGCCCAGCATTGGCTGGGAAACTGGAGGCACCCTGTCCTGGATCAGCAGGCACTGGTAATGGTAACTCACTACTGTATTGTCTCTTGTTTAGGTTACACGGGTTGCCTTTTAAAGTGATTTGGAAGCAAGAAGACTACAATCAAAAACCTTCTTAGTTATAGCTTCCTGACTCTAGTCTGCCTTCCAAGGTCAGGTTGGCCCTTCTGTCTTGTCATTCAAAAAGAGCATTAAAACAATGCTCTTCCAAAGAGCTTCAGTGCAGAGGACGTGACTTGATTGGCAGGAGCTAATGAGGAAGGCTGGTTGTCTAGGGTTACAAAATGTTATTGTGATTGGCTGATGTGGGTCTTCCGGGCTGTGTGGCCGTGTTCTGGAAGTTTTGGTTCCTAACATTTCGCCAGCATCTGCATCTATACCGCATACCATGCATCTGCGGAAAAGTATGCATTGGAACCACAAAACGCAGCATCCATACCAGGATAAAAGAACACGAAAAACACTGCAGACTACAGCAACCAGAAAAATCTGCAGTAGCTGAACATGCTCTCAAGCACACTGGACACAAAATCCTATTTGAAACCAAAGAAATACGGGACAACACCAACAGCCTCTATACCAGGCTATACCGGGAAGCTATTGAAATTCACAAACACCAGCACAGTTTCAATAAAAAAGAAGAAAGTCTAAAAATCAACAAAACCTGGCTACCAATCCTGAAAAATACAGCCTGCAAAAGGTCAAGGAACTCAGGTCAACCACCAGGACACGCGAACAATTCACACAATGAACAT